AGGGGTTTATTTAGCACTTGTGCTGGGGCAGTTGGTTTCCTACCGGTGGTGTTCAATGGGCTGCAAACTGTTTCCAGGTCACACCAGCAGCTCTGGCCGAGCATCTTGGGGCTCTTTGCCCACGCTGCGCCAGTTTCTTTCTTTAGGCCCGTTCTTGCAACTTAGAAAAGCTACTGCTTTTCGCAGGCTTCTGGTCTTGCTGATTCTTGTCTTGTTTTTCAAGGCAAATCCTCCTGACTCGTTCAACCTCTGGTATTGCTGCGGAAATTATGCATCTGGGGAACAGCTTCACGGAAAAATGCTTAAGTGACTTGATTTACATTGTAGCCTGCCCCTTAAAACTAGATTAAAGACCTAGTAATATCCTACAAAGCGCTGAACAGACAGAAGGAAGTAAATGAGCATAGCCTTGATTAGATTTGAACCAACAATCTTGAAGTAAAAGTTTAAGACATAAAACTGTTCGGCAATCTATCCACCATATGGTTGGGTTGAATGTAGTCACGTGTATGCTTCATATTAGCTTTATCATTTGAAGATATTGATTTTAGTGGAATAATCATGCTAAGCAATTTGTTTTAATATAACAAATAGTGTCTTACAGTGGCAACCACCATGTATCTTTTTTTTTTTTTTAAGATTTCCAAAAGCTTTTTAAAATAAAATATATGATCTACAGATCAAAAGTGTGATATTCCTGGGTTGTTTTTTTTTTTTCATCTGTCTCTCTCCGAGGAATGACTGCAGAGTGTTAAATGAAAAAGCAGTAGCTGTGCAAGGGGGTAATAAATAGCAAGGTGCCTGTTAAATGCAGTTGCAAGGATTATGAAGAGGCAAGACTTTGCGCAAGTTAAAAAATATATATATATATTTGGTCTTTAATTCTGAGAACTGTATATAATAAGACTTAGAAAAAGAATACAAACCCCGAGATAAATAGTGCTGTAGGAAGGCAGCGTTCTGTCAGACGTGATGGGTAGTAAAGGCTCTGTGCACTCGGTCTGGAGGTAAATTTAAGAGCCGCGGCAAGTTGTGTACTTCTGGCTGAAGCAGGTTTTCCTGTGAGACTACAAAGAAGGGAGGAGAGGGGGAACCTTCACTTAAGGTTGTAGGTAAAGGTGAGGTGACGGGGCAGGAGAGGTCTCGTCCAGCATCCTCCTGTGACGGAGGGCAGCGCGCCCACGGCCCACGCAGGGTGTTTCTTCAGGGGTGAGTGGCTCTTCCAGAGCTGGCAGGAGCAGATGGCTTCGGAGAAGCCCCGATGTAGAAATCGAGGCGGTAATCTCTCCAGAACAGCCTTCGCACAAAGGATGCCTTGAGAGGAGCCTCAGGATGTCGTTTCCGAGACACTAATAAAGGAAGCATTTCCTGCCCCAAGAGTTACAGCATAAATGTAATAATGTGCAAAACCAGACACAATAAAACAAATAGACGACGAGTTCTTACGGAAATCTCAATGAGGATGATAATATTAGGGAAGCTTTTGAGCTCTTTGCCCTTGCTTAGATGAATCACAATCCGTTCATTCCTCAGGAGCCGTCTGCTCGGAGCAGAGAGCACTGTGTTAGTGGTGGACAGGAGTTCCCCTTGCTCAGCCCCGTTCGGGATTTGGTCCCGTGCCTCCTGTTAACACAAAGGAGTTGTCATGCCAACAACATCGTAGAAGCTTTAGGGGATGTCATCCCAACAACATCCCAACAACATCTTAGAAGCTTTACTAGGAGAAATAACCCAAGCTTCACTCAAATACCATTTTATTTGCAGCTTCACGCTCCGCTCTGGCCGCCCCACCCCGTAGAGGTGTAGGGATGCTCGTACCGCTCCAGAAAGCCGGACCTCCCGCGGCAGTTCTTCGGAGGCCAGAGAGCGTGGTGGGGATGCGAGATCGGTTGTGATTTCCAGGAAGCGTTGGCCTGCCTGGGAAGCGGCCTGGTTTGGTTGCTAAGGCTGAAGATCAAGATGCAAAACTTCTCGGGGTTTAGTTGTGGCGTGGCGTTGCTCCAAACGCTTCCGCGCGCCTCTGGGCTGGCCCGTGGCGGTGGGAATGCTGTAAGGCATTGACGGTCACTTTCAAGTGGGAAAGTTATTAAAATGCTTTGAAACTTGAATGGCAATGGATAGGTGAGTGTGAGGTTTGATTTATTTGATGGAATTTTGTAGAGAAATAGTCCTCTAACGTTGCACATCCTCTGGGTCAGCGGTGCTGGTGTCTTGGGAGGATGGTGGGAATCTAATTATTTCATCTGTCCAAAATAGCAACTTTTAAGAGGTGAGGAAATGACTACACCAAAACTATTGTATGCCATCTGCCTGCTAAAATACTTATAGAAAACATGTTTCCTGGCATATAACTTCCTAGCCATATGTCTATTGCATCGTTCACAATTAAATTAAATCACCCTTAAATACTTGGACAAATTCCCAGTCTATGTGAACAAGCCTTCATCACTGTGCTGTTTGAAATTTGGACACTTGATCCTGTAAATGTTTAGTTGAAATTGGCTCAGCCGTTGTTAACCTTACACAGCTGATCCTGACGGCTTCGAGATAATTCAAGTGCATGTTTCCTATTTTAGTCTTTAAATTTTTAGCTATAAAAATTTGTTCGGGGTCTGAAAGGAGGAAATAATTCTGCAGTATTCATTTACAAGGTGCTCGGGTCACTTTAAACAGAGGTTTAAATGGAGAGTCCTATCAATGAGAAAAGGCGTTATCTTCCGCTCGTCGAATAAACAGACGGAAATAACTGAAAAGCCTGGTTACAGCTGGATATTCTGAATATTTGCTTGGAGGTGTGTACACACACACACACAGAGTCAAAGAGCTTCCCCTCTTCACAGCAGCTCCGAAACATGATTGCGAACAGACATCAGACAGCAAAGCCCGACTTGATCCCGGTTAGGCTGGGTCAGCCTTGCCCAAGCCCGGCTGCTGGCGGTGCTGTGCAGGGTCCCACCGCCACCACCCTGCTGCCCCGTGTCCCCGGCCGGACGATCGGCTGCGGCTCAAAGAGCAGAGTGGTTGGGTGGGTGGAAGCATCTCCAAGTCTCTCTTCTAAAATCCCGCGTAGACAGTGCTTTAAAGAACAATCTTAGAAGTGCTTTAAGATTGCGGCTTGGATTTGCGGCTCAAAGAGCAGAGCAGAGTGGTTGGGTGGGTGGAAGCATCTCCAAGTCTCTCTTCTAAAATCCCGCGTAGACAGTGCTTTAAAGAACAATCAAAGAACAAAGTTAAAGAACAATCTTAGTAAGTAACTGATTTGGGGTTTTTTTTGGTTCTTCATCTGAGGATATGTCAGGTTTACCTGTTGTGCCGTGCTTAGCTGAGTCACTATCCTAAAGTGAGTCCTAAGGTATGGTCTGACATACTCCGAGAGTGCACAACGGTGGGCACGAGTATTAACGAAAGCCTACACCTTTGCCACGGGGAATGTCATTTAAACGCAGCCCAACTTCCACTGGAAGCCAAACCCACGAGCTTCCCATGCTCGCTGTCTGGCAGACCCGCTCATCATCTATTTTTAGTCCAGCTTGCTATTATTACTCTGTTTTTGAAAGGTGAAACAAAACCATCAGCCAACCCCGGATGATTCCGTTGGTTTCTTTCATTCAGGAGCCCGGAGCCGCGCCGGAGGAGAATGGCAGGAAGCTCGGCAGGGCGGAGGGGAGAGACCCCGTGAAGGCTGGGGGGGACTGGGGGGGCACAGGGGGACCCACCGTGGGGCTGCACCAGCTCACGGCCCAGAGCTCCCCTGCAGCTCCCGTATAAACAAGGGGCTCGGCATGAGCTGGTTTGTTTTATTCTTTCCCTACGGTTCACTTACTTTTAGTACCAAAATAAAATTTCCAGGCATTTCTCAGGTTTTTTTGCCTTCAGTGTACAAGAGTGGTGCCGAGCCCTGTCCCACCAGAGGCAGCTCGGCAGCTTTCCATGATGCTGCTCAGCACGATGGCGTGTTGGTCCTCGCCAGATGGTTCTCCATCTTCTAGTGGCTGATACTTTGAAATCTCAACTTTTTATTTTTAGTTGTGTTATTCAACCCAGATTCTCACTTTAATAGAAGAAAAAAAAAAATATAAAATCTGTTATTTAAATAGGACCTTTGTCTCACTCTACTTATTTCATCTTTTGAATACATTTTCGAAACTGATAGGCATGCAAACCTGTGTCATGTACTGAGTCACGCCTTTCCCACCGCGTGTGTGTGTTTGAGAGAGGAAAAAAGAGAAACTGCTTGGGTGGGAGCTGCTGGAGACAGCCGGGCTCTGTCCACGCTCAGGTTTTACACTGTGTTGTAGCCCGTGTTTTACGGGGATATTCTGGTCTGTATTAGAGCTGTATAGCTCTGTCATTCACTGAGCGTAACAGGAATCTTTATATAGACGTTAGAGCGCATTTCTTAGCTACAGATGTTTCCTTCCAAGAGACATTTTCCTATCCTAGAACAGGAAAATCACAAAATGTTTTGGGTTGGAAGGGACCTTTAAACATCATCTTGTCCAACTCCTGTCCTATGCTAAAAACAAAAGCTACTGGAATTTTGTCATACCAGTAAATGTGTATACTGGAAATTCTATTTAGGGATTTCTTTGTACATAACACTCTCTTTTTTTTTTTTCCTGTCTTTTGCTGACTACAGCCACGTGACTGTAGAATTGTAACTGGGGCATCCACTAAAAGATACTCCAATGGCGAAGTGTTTCACTGGCCTTCCTTCCATCGCTATTTTTTCTGGCCACCTCATTTTTGATTTCCTGTTAGCGATGACTCCGTTGGTGACAACATCATTTAGCTGGGAAAGAAAAGGGAGAATTCAGACTTAACTAGAGTTTAGATTTTGTTAGCGATCGTATCTTTTTATCCCCAAAGGCCAGAATTATTGCTAAGACACTTCTGTTGTCTTTGGTGTCCCCAGACATAAAAATCAAGAAATGGAAACACTGAAATATTTTTTTTTTTAATAAATTTTTTTTTTTTTTTTTTTAATCCATACCTTTGGAGATACTCATATTTCTTTAAGGCCATGGTAGGATGCATTGGCTGAGCCCCATTTGCTGCCCGCTGCAGAGCACCCCTCGTCCTGCTGGTTCCAGAGCTGGTCCCAGTTACCTGTGGTGCAGCCACTGGAGAACTGGAGAGCCAGGGCCAACCATTTCCACTTGGTCAAGTTCAGCCTGGTAATAAAACTGAAGCGAGTATTTCTATACTGTTTTTAATGTTTCTATAATGCGTTATTAATGGAAACGAGCTCCAGGAAGTTATTTATTAGTCTCAAGTCCCTCTTCTGCTCCAGGTTTTATGCAGAAGTTTTTGCCCGTGGGTTTTTTTCCTCCCCCAGACCTTCTCTAAACCATTTCATCTGTGCTCTCTGTTTGACCAAAGTCAATTTAGTGAAGCTAATGGAGTTACTTCTCTTCAGGTCAGTGATGATTTCACATCCTCGAGTTCCTTGCTTAATTTGCTGTGAAAATTTCCAACGCTGAACTCAGTTTTCAGTTCCCCCCTTTCCACAGCACAGCCCTGGGACCGTGCACGGGACTCGCCGGCGGTGGCTGGACCTGGGGTTTCTCCACTTCTCTGCTCTTATCACATTGTGTTTACTTTCCTTTGAGGGAAGTTTAGCAGCAGGCTCGAGTCTAATCCTTCCTTCCAGCTGGAGCCTTCACTTTAAGGGGAAAGCCAGCAGCTCTCAGGAAAGAGTTAAGCCCAGCGAGGCTTTGGGATCCTTTGCTGGGGAGAGGGCTGCTCTTTTGTTTGTTTTGAAGCGCCGTCAGGAAAGTGGGGAGGAGAAAATTACCTAAGTGATAGTGAGGTTGCCATGAACTATATAAAACAGTGGAATCAAATCGGAGAAACTCCACCTCGCAGCCTTGAACCATAAGCACAACCCCTGAAGAGAAACCCACCCCACAACCGAGTGATCTCAAAGGCTTGAACTAAAACCAAGCTACATGAGCTCAGAGCTGCTGCAGGACTGAAAACCCGAGAGCTGTCACAACCAGATCCAGCTTTAGCGGGAGCTGCGAGCCGGAATGCTGTTCTGGGGAAGTTTAAAAATGATGAAGTGGAGGCAGCTTTTCTGGATTGCGTTCTGTGTTGCGGAGTTGTGCGGTGAGTATTGACTGCAGCAGAGTAACAACAGCGTGAGACTAGTGCATGGGGCAACGTGTTTGTAACTTCTGAAAGAGCAGCTCGGGGGGAAAGCGTTTTCGGGAGTGGTTAGCGGGGATGGCTGCAGCGTCACACAGCGAACCCCGCAGTGACATTTTGCGGAACGGCATCAGGCACCGTGGCCAACACAGCGATGGGCTGCAAACAGAAAACGCTGCTGGTTTGAAAAGGAGAGGACTCGGGCTGTAAGAGCTCCCTGTAATATTACAAGGGGATGCAAATGCAGCGCGCAAAGCTGTAGAGTGCAGCCACAGTTCAAGGCGTTCCCCGGTCTGCGTTGGTGCAAATTAGCCTCACTTTTGTTTTGTGGCAGGAACTAAACATTTTCTGAAAAATCAAATGACTCTGCATAAAGATTAAAAGCTCCTATTCCAGCTCTTCAAACATTCATCCTATGAAAAAGTGAATAATAACAGAGATTTTATCTAGGTAGTGCTTTTTTAAAGGGTTATATTTTAGGGAAATATTATCATTTTTGTCCCAAACCCAACAACCATAAAGTAATAAAAAGAGACTTTAAAAAAAAAAAAAAAAAAAAAAAAA